TGATGTTTCCTGATGCTCAGCTGGGTCCTTCTGCACATAAGAGGGCACTTGGGGAGCAGATATTTGGGTCTGGGGGCAGGATCCCCCTGTAACCTTCTGTGTCCTTTCTGTGCATCAGGGCCAAGCTTCCTCAGGTTGGAGGAGCACTGTGATGCCCGGGAGGAGGGGAGCCCTTTGGGGCTTCCTGTAGTCTGAGGGCAGAGACTTCTGGAAAATTTGAGGGTCTGAGTTGGTGTCAAGAGTCAAAAAAACACAGAAGCATGTGTGGTTGGGGGCTCCACCTGGCGTCTGGACCTGGGTCCCCATCTGGAAGAGTCAAAGGGGCTCTGTGAAGCTTCTTTCCCGGCCCTCAGGACCCAGAGGAGAGCCTGTCTCCCTGTCTTGCTTCTCTGGGCACCCCGGGGAACCTCTGGCTGAGCAGCTCTGCCTGCTCCATGCTCACGCCTTCCCAGCATCAGGGCAACTTGTGGCAGAACAGGATCTTCCAGATGCTGGCACCGTGCTGTGGGCTCTGGGCTGCTGGCCTGCTGGCAGCTGTGAGGCCAAGGGGAGCCATGCCTAGCTGGCACAGCCTAGGCCAGCTCTAGGCTATTGGGGCTGCCCTTTGGTCCTCGGGGCCTGGGCATGCCCTGGGGTCTGCATGCAAGCCATGTGGGGAGTGGAGGCAGAGGCCCTGGGCTGCCACGATCTCAAATACAACACTCTGAGACCTGCTCTCTCCTGGGTTCCTTGTCCTCAAACTTCTTTAAACTCCTGTCCTTCTTCCAAACCCCCATCATTTTTGTAAGCTGGGTTGGGGACAGATGGGTCCTCATTCCCACCTGTTCCACCTCAGAATGTCTCCTACTGTCCTGGCAGCTGGCTGATGGCCTCCGACACAGGCCTCTGCCTTGGGGGTGAGCCCCTCTCTCTGCTGCTTTGCTCTGGCAGCCCCCGTGGTGGTGCAGTCAGCTCAGCCCCCTCCTCTTTTCAGGCCTGGGGAAACTTCAGCCCTGGATGCAGGGCCTCATCGCCGTGGCTGTGTTCCTGGTCCTTGTGGCAATAGCCTTCGCTGTCAACCACTTCTGGTGCCAGGATGAGCCGTGAGTGCTCCCTGAGGGCCCTGGGGGCTGGATAGCCCTGAGCAGGTTGGGGAGGGGGTGGGGGGCATGCTGGGGATGACCCAGAACCACTGCTCTTGCTTTAGTGACAGTGAGAAGGGCCTTGGAGAGCCTGGGTTCAGTGCCCACACTTCAGGGAAGCTGAAGTTCAAGGCTCCCTGTGAACTGGCCGCAGTAGGAACTGGTCAGGTTTTCCGGCTCCCAGTTCTGGGTGCTCTCAGCCTCCTGACTCCAATGCCTGAGCCCCATGAGCACTGGGGAAATGTCTTCTCTTCCTGGAGTCTCACTGTTTCTATCTGTGGAGTCTGGATGGCGTCTTGGCCTGTGATGGGGTGTGGGTACCTCTGGGAAGAAAGGTCCCATCTTTTTTGAAGGTCAGCTGAGGTGAGGAGGGCGTGACACCCGCCTCCAGGCTCCCAGACCGGAAGGAGCAATGGCAAGCTCGAGCGTGGTTGCTGAAGGAGAGTGCAGGGTGCTCTGTGGGGCCTTACGTGGTCCAGGGTGGGCAAACCAGGTCAGGTTTGCACAATTGCATGTTTGCATGTTTACCTGAAATGTGGAGAACTAGGAGGGGCAGGTCAGTGGACAGGGTGGCGTGGGAAGAGAGCTGCAGTCTGAGGCAAGAGCACACCTGGTCCCTGAGCTAGGGGCCTGGCGCCTGGGCTGTCCTGCACAGGTGCACCAGGTAGAGAGGGGTGGGTTGATACCTGGCTCATGTACACTTGCCAGGCCGGGGCTGGGGTGAGGCTGCCTGTCTCGAGTCTCTCCCCAGTTCTCACAAAGGTGACCTGGTGGCCCGGGTATGGCAGCAGTCCTGCAGGTCTGCTGAGGAGGCACAGACAGCTCAGAGAGTGGAGCGAGTGACAGAGAGGCCCAAGATGAGGCTGTGAGGCAGGAGGACCTGGTCTAAGAGGCCCTTGCATGCCAACTACCTAAATTTTGGGCTTAATTTCAGGGCCACAGGAATCTAGTGACAAGTTCTCACGCTGGTCTCAGGATCCCCATGGCCTTGGTGGACTCACACTGCCTGTACGTGGCAGATGCATGAGTGGGGGTGGTCTACAGGCACCCAGAGTGATGAGGAGGCTGAACATGAGGTCAGGAGAGCGTCGGGACCACAGAGGCGGGGAGCGGGTGGGGAAGGGGGGTCTAAGCTCCAGCTAGGAGCTGGACCGCTGGGCAGCTGGTGATGAGCCAGCAGCAGGTACTAGGGGAAGAGGCAGGGATGCCATCCAAGTCTCCGACAGGGTTGCTCACCCAGGCACAGAACCCAAGAGGACATGCAGATTCCGGTGCAACTGCTGAATTTAACTTGGGGCATTTTATTTTACTTTTTTTTGAAAGATTTTTTGTTACAGGGCATGTGCGCTTGCTGGGGTGAGAGTGAGAAAGTGAGAAATCCCCCCTCCCCCAGGGGGGATGGCCATGCTGCAATCCCTTCTTCTTTATTCTTGGGATTGGGGGCATACACGCACCTGGTGTGTTTGAAGCTGCCGGGTCCGGGACACAAACTGTGGTCGACCATGTGGCATCTTAATCACTATACCACCTGCTGGTCCCTAACTTGGGACATTTTAAGGCTGAGGTGCCTGTGGGATTTTCGAGGTACAAAGGCCCCTAACCCTCACAGAGAGTTCCTGGGGTTAGAGCCAGAGGCTGTGGGGCAGAAGGTGTAAACTCAACAGGCGAAGAGCTTCTGCCAAAAAAACGCTTCACTTCCCCAGCGGCCCCAGCTCTGTCTCAGGGGCCACCAGCCACATCCGCTCCTATCGTCCAGGGTCGTCCTGTGCAAGTCTGGGGAGACTTCCGGTCCTGCTGGGCCTGCTCTGGAGGAGCAGAGAGGAGAGTGTGGGGATCCACGGGTCGGGCTGGAGCAGCCGCTGACAGGACTCCCTGGCCGGAGGTGTTTCCGGGTGAACCAGGCCCGGGAGCAGGGTCTCCTGGGATGAGGCGCCCCTCTGACGAGTTCGTCCGCAGGGAGCCCGTGAATACGGTCCTGACCGTGGGAAACAAGACGGATGGGATCCTGGTGGGAACAGACGGAAGGTACTCCTCCATGGCCACCGGCTTCAGGTGAGGGGTGGCACGGGGCTGCCTGCTCTGTGCTCCAGGGGCCCGGGTGGACCCAGGGCCCCGTCCTGCTGGCTGGGAGGACGGACGCTCGTGGGGCAGAGCCGGGTAAAGGACAGGCTGGTGGCGAGGGGCTCTGTGAGGACTGCAGAGCTCCATGGGGTGAACCTTCAGTTTGAGGGTTGGGACTTGGGGGAGGCTTGGCAGGGGGGGTGGGGG